TAGTGAGCGGCACGTGCATGGGATGTGATGTGAATGGGATGTTTGCATGCTTCAGGTGTTAAATTCCGGCTGGATTGACAGAGCTCAGACTGGCACGCCCGACGCCCGTGACAAATAGTTTCCCACCCACCCAGACAAACTACTCCGTCTCCGTCCTGCTAGCCTTGTCGGCTCAGTTCGAGACGGTACGTCACTAGTCAGTTCCACTCCTGCTCGATCCACAAGCCTGTCTGCCATTTCGTCAATCTCCGTGGAGTGAAAAGCAACAGTTCCACCAGTGGTCCCCTGCTCTTCTTATGCCAGCGGCCCTCTGAAGTTCCTTCCTTTTTTTCCTTTTTCTTTTTTGTTCCCCATTCGAAAACAGTTCCGCCAGAGGCTCTCTGTTCCAGCCTTTACCTTCACACCCTGCCTTCCTCTTGCGCCCATTTCTTTCGTCCTCCTCCCTCCCCCCACCAGCTCTATATCCATCCACAACACGTTCGCCCCTGCAGAGGAGATGGCGAAATCGCTTTTGAGAACTCGCGATTTCAACATTGCAGAGGAGATGGCGAAATCGCTTTTGAGAACTCGCGATTTCAACATTGCAGAGGAGATGGCGAAATCGCTTTTGAGAACTCGCGATTTCAACATTGCAGAGGAGATGGCGAAATCGCTTTTGAGAACTCGCGATTTCAACATTGCAGAGGAGATGGCGAAATCGCTTTTGAGAATTCTCAAAAGCGACTTCAACATTGCAGAGGAGATGATAACAGCGCCACCAGTCAACCAATAATCATCTCTGCCTTCCTCCCTGTCCCTCACTAACCCCCCTCCCCCTCCCAGCAGCTCTATATCCATCCACAACACGTTCTCCCCTCCAGAGGAGATGGCAACATATTAGTGCGACTTTTGAGAATTCTCAAAAGTCGCACTAGTACACCCCCCGCCATCCTGCACCTGAACCACTACACGTCGCGGGAGGTGGATCTCAAAGAGCCGCCCTGCAACGCTACAGTCAAGCCCATCGAAGTCGCCAGCTTCTTGTTCCCCATTCTTCTTACTGCTTCCCTCCCAGATGTCTCCGTTAACCCTCTTTCCTCCTTTTTTCCACCTTCCCTTCCTCCCCAACCAGCTCTATATCCATCCACAACACGTTTTCCCCTCCGGAAGAGATGGCAACAGCACCCCCCTCCATACTCCATCTGAACCACTACACATCCCGGGAGGTGGATCTCAAGGAGCCGCCCTGCAACGCCACAGTCAAGCCTATTGAAGACCCCAGCCTCTTCTGGGCCCGCAACCGCACAATGGAGTGCAAAGCGGTGCGGTGCGGTGGCAGTGGTGAAACCCCTGTGGAGTGCTGGCCTTTCTGCCAGCTGCCATGGGCGGGTCAGTAGGAATAGATAGCACTATGCAAGCCGCATGATGGAGTGCATGGCGATGCAGAGCAGTGCAGTGCGGTGCGGTGCTGTGCGGTGCGGTCCAGTGCGGTGGGAGTGGTGAAACCCCTGTGGAGTGCTGGCCCTTCTGCCAGTTGCCTTGGGCGGGTCAGTAGGAATAGATAGCAACGTGCAAGCCGCACAATGGAGTGCATGGCGATGCAGTGCAGTGCGGTGCGGTGCGGCGCTGTGCGGTGCGGGTGCTGACGCCCCTGTGGAGTGCTCGCCCTTCTGCCAGCTGCCGTGGGAGGATCGGGACAAAAATAGATAGCGTTTTTGGGGTCAGAATACAACAGAAATGGGTAGCTAGCTAGCACGCTCTCGGGGTCGGCAGGACAAGAATAAAACGCCACGGTGAAGCCAATAGAGGAGCGAGCAAGCCTCTTCATAGCTCATAGTTGCACCGTGGATGGAGTTCAAGCAATGCATTGTGGTGGCGGTGCTACACGGGGGGTATAAGTAGAAAGTGTCACACAAGCTACGCGGAAGGCAAGGCTATAGCAATGCTACTGCTTGATGTGTGGATGGCGGAGAGAGATCCATGGGCCATAATACCAAACTACTGTGCATGGTGGGAGAAACACACTGGGTAACAACATTCCCTTGTGCTACCTAGTGCTGTGTGGTGATCTCAACTCCCTCCCTGCTTTCATAGCGGGGTAGGCTCGCCGTCAACGGCCGGTTCTTCCGTTTTTCCCAAGCGTTCCTTGTATCGAATATCATGGAAGCCTTAGCCATGGCGAGCTCTTCCTTCATTGACCCTAGATACACTGCCCGAAATCAGTGCTACGATGTTTGCCCACTAATATGTGGGATCACAATATCAGTAGAATATAGTCGGATAGCTATGTGTAGTACCCGTTTATTCAGTTCTAGATGTAGTAACCAGAGAACATGCATTTGTTTTTAACGAGTTTTTGGAATTGGAGAATATATACAGTACAGCTTGCGCGCCGTATTCGATGCAATTCTCTGGAGCAGAGTTCCCGTTTCGCATCGTGGTTGACGAGCACGTTTACGAGTAAGAGCACACTGTAGCCATGAATGGAATTGGACTTTTCCAAGAGTCCGAAATCGCCCAGACTCCTCACACCCTAGGAAGCAGAAAGAAAAACTGGACACGTCTGGAATTTCCTGGCCCCCCCGACTCGAAGAAACTTGTCCTTGTCCAGTTGCTTCCCGCGCGGCGTGCTCCAGCGAAGGTTGACAGTCAGGCGTACAAGAATGAAGATGACAGAAATAGAAGACAGAAATTTTGGTATCTCGTACAGTACAAGATAGCCCACCTCAGCCAATCACTCATAAGTAGGACATTCCTCGCCGATTTCAACAAATGGACTTTTGGGTTCGGACTTTTTTTGTTGGATCCATCAGACACCCTGAGTTGCGGAGGTGCAGTAAATGTTGCTGCCGAGGAGGGTGAGTGAGCACAACTAGCGCAATTCAACAAGCAATGCTTTGAACATTGAGAAGAGCGAGCGCTGCAAACCATAATTTACGTCAAGGAAGCAAGTACGTGTATTCGAAAGAACTACTGGAAAACCACTCATCCTATGTCGGTAATCAGGTGTAAAGTCAAGCACCCCAAACCTGCGGTTGTGTGGGTGGCTTGGTGGCCTGGTTGATGGTGATTTGGCGTGGTTGATGGTGGTTTGGCGTGGTTGATGGTGGTGTGGCATGTTTGATGGTGGTATGGCGTGGTTTGGTGACGAAACAAATCTGGCAATGTCCCGAAACAAACCAAGGCCTGCATCATGCACCACACAAACACAAATCGAAGAATCGCCCAAGGCCTGCATGTTAGTAGGCCTGCGGTTCAAAGAATAGCAATTTCTTGCACCAGAACGGGTTCCTTCACACCAAACCAACACCAAGAACGCCGAAAGTAGCCATGGTCTCGAGCGTTACTACGCCGCAGCCGCAAGCAGCAGCGCCCACAGCGAGCCAGTGCCATCATATCGCACTCGCCGCTGCCACCTCCGCCTTGCTCGCATTCTGGGTCGCGTTTCAACTCGGCGGCGGCTCGACCGGCCTGCCTGGCGAGTTCCGCGCCGCGGGAACTCCAGTCGACGCCTTTGATCATGCGATGCGCACACCGTTTAAAGAGTCGCGGAAATATGGTAAAAATCGAGCCGCGGTGGCCCACCGGGATGGAGAGCGTGAGATCGATGATGCCACATCATCAAATCGGTCGTTATCTGCCCGCGGCGCGAAGATCCGGCTGTGCATGGGCAGCCCGACCGCGCCATTCGCGCAGGGAACGTTCGTTACGAAGCCAATCATCATGAAAAAAAAAGAAAGGCGCAACGGCGAGCAACCGATACGCGCAGCTCACCGTGTTCGAAGCAGAGGCTCGGCACGCCGAACCTCTCGTGAAAGAAGACTCGGGAAAGCCGCAGCGGCAAGCCAGGAGCAGCCAGACGTCTTTAAGGCTCCTTGCCTTTTTAGAGGATGACGAATCTATCTTAAAAACGCAGTGGAAAGGGTGGGGAGAGGCGGAGCTCAGCGAGCTTTTTTGCCACATATGGCCTGGTCACGACCCATATATTCAAGCGTTCGAGCCTGCTTATATCGTGGATGTGGTGCCAGTTTGGAACATGTACTCTTGGCACTTGATATTAGAATGCCTGATTCCATCATACACAGTCAGTGAAAATAGTACTAGCATTGCCAACGATCGGCTTGCAGGTGATGACTCAGAGGTTGCCGATGTGGCTCATGCCGCTCCCTACCCTCTTTCAGGCGCCTCTCCAACCGCCTCCCCTTCTCTCCCTATGAACTTAACTACATCCTCTGTGATCGGTCACGAGCGGTTGAGAACGGTGGAGGGGAGGCAGTGGGCGGTGCATCACTGGCAGCAGGTGCAGGTGCAGCTGGTGGCGGCAGAGGCTGCCAGCGGGGCGGAACTGCGCATGCCGCCTCTGCTGCTGTGCCGCGCTGACAGCGACAAACACACCCTCGCCTCTTCCCCGCACTCACTCTCCCTCTCCACCTCCAGTGAAACTGCTGCTGCTGCTGCTGCTGCTGATGCTAATGCTGCTGCTGCCCAGCCCCTTTCTGTCTCCTCCCCACCGCCCTTTCCCTTCGCTGCTGTGGAAAGGGAACTGGTTACTGCCGCAGCCGCAGCTGGGGGTGCTGGGGTTGCTGGAGAGCCTGGGGGGAAGACTGCTGGGGCTGCTGAGGGGGCTGGGGGTGATAGGGTTGCTGCTGCCCCTGGTGCTGCTGGGAGTTTGAAAGAGGTTGGAGTCCCAGTTGGTGAGTCAGACCTGGCACTGTTCCTGAAGGGGAGAGAGGGAGTGGAGGAGGGGAGGAAAAGAGGGATGCGTGTTAGTGCTGAGAACATGGAAAGTTCAGAGGACTTGCTAGTGAATTATGAAGATGAAGCAGATGAAGATGAAGCAGATGAAGATGAAGCAGATGGATATGAAGAGGAGAGTTTGGAGGGATCTGGAAAAAGCGATATCGTTGCTGATTACTCAAATGCAGTGATTACAGCAGCAGCACCAGCAGCAGCAGCAGCAGCAGCAGCACCACCGCCGACACCAGCAGCAGCAACAGCAGGCGCAGCTGAAACGGCAGGCAGATTCACCGGCGCAAATCAGAGGCGGTGGCGGCGGCGCAGAAAACCAGAAAGCATGGGTGCAGTGTCCATCTGCCTGCGCCCCTTCCACACGCGCCAAATGTTCTCCGACAATATAGCTGTCTCCGACGCGCGCTTACTCGAATGGATCGATGCGTCTCTGCTGATGGGAGTGGATCGCGTCTATGTGTACGACCGCTACGCCACAGCCAAGCGGGAGTTGCTATTGCCGTACATGGCTAGGGGCCAGGTGGTGCATGTGCCGTTCCCCCCCTGGTCGGAGGTGTTTTATCGCCAGGAGCAGTTTGCTGGAAAGAGCAATGCTCCGTATGCGGTGAGTGCCCTGGAACTTCTCGGACACCCTGCGCTCGGTGCACGTGCCGTTCCCCCCGTGGTCCGAGGTGTTCTATTCTATCGCCAGGAGCAGTTTGCTGGGAAGGGCAATAATCCGCTCAGTGGACATGGACGCGTCCAGCGTCTTATACGCTACTAGCGTCCAGCGTCTTATACGCTACTAGCGCCCAGCGTCTTATACGCTACCACTAGCGTCCAGACGCGTATATACGCTGGACGCTCTGATGTTCAGCCCTGAACGCTAGGTATACGCTTGAGTCGGGCAGGCGGATATACGCTAGATATACGCAAAAAAAAACGTTTTCGGGCAGGGGGAGAAAAGCGGGGGGAGAGGAGGGAAAAGGGGGAAACGGAGCACCATAAGGATTCCGCCATGGAATCGCGACGGTAAACGATACTTATGCTGGAAAAGGATGTTACGCTTGATTGAAGGAGTTCTCTAAACGGATGCAATAGAGGCGAATCTCGACAGCGCAAACGCAAGTCTAGGTGAAGTAGCAGTTAGGAAAAATCTGGTAGTGGGTGAGTGAGTGAAACCTAATCGTCGACTAATAACTTCGGCTGGGAAATGATCCTGCCAGAGTTGGTCGTTGATCTACTTATGATGAGTTGGCTTTGCTAGATTAGGAGGGGTGGAATGCGGTAGAGAGAAATCTGGCGACATGTTTTTTATCTGGTTCTGTTCTTGGCGAAATTGAACCAGATCCGCTTCTAAACTACATTTCGCGCTGAAGTCGCAAACCTCAATCTTGTCGCGCGTTTTTTTTTTCGTCGGGCTGCCCGAAAAAATCGGGGCGAGCGTCCAGCGTCCAGTGAGCGTCCAGCCTACGTACGCTAGCGTATATACGCTGGACGCTCGCCGTCAAGAAAACGTTTGATTCACAACTGCTTTCGAAATCCGTAGTGGGTGCCTTATTGATGCGTGGGGGATGAGGGCTTGCTGGAGTGAATCACACGTTCCTGTCGCTGTGAGTGGGTGCGTAGTCTGTGAACTCCATGCATAGAGAGCAGTCGCTACGCCACAGCCAAGCGCGACCTGCTGTTGCCTTACATGGCCCGGGGGCAGGTCAACCGATGCTATGAGCAAGACCACCTCTACACCACACACATGCAAGCCATAGTCTGCGAGAATTGAGGTGTATTTTGGGGCGCCTCAAACTACGCATAGAGCATGGTCTCATTGCATGGGGACAACAGATGCTATGAGCATGACCATCTCTACACCACACACATGTGAGCCATAGTCCGGCCCTGCTCTCTGTCTGCTGAGTCGCAACCAGTCCCTCTTCCCCCCTCCCCCACCCCCCTCCCCCTCAAGGATCAGGCAAAAGAAGAATAATAAAAATACAAATAAGAATAAATAAATATATGAATAAAATCTCCTCACCTGCTCCTCACCCTCTCCCCTCCCTCCCTCCCCTCCCCCCTCCCTCCCCCTCCTCCCCCCCCACTTCTCCCCCCTCCAGTTCCCAGACATATACGACCAGATTATATCCTACGAGCACTGCATGATGCTGGGGCGGAGGTTCGGCGACAGGTGGCAGCTGCAGATAGACAGTGACGAGTTCATCTGGTACCCGCCTCAAGCTGGGGCCTTCTTGAAGCCGCTTCTAGCGAGGATAGAGCTTAACCACGCGCAAAACAGCACGGAACCGCTACGGGTGAGCTTTGAGAAGCCGCATCAATTCACAATTAACGGAAATGGGACGTAACCTGACCCTAAGTTGGGCCCAGTATGGATGTGACTGTACGGCAGGTCCAACTTGACGTGACAGTACCGAAGGGAAACAGGGCGCAAGGGAAAGGAGATGCTTATGGCATTGAGTGATGAATTTGATAGCTAGCTTAGCACCATGAGTAGAGGCCAGAGTTATGCAGGGTGGCTTTAGGAAATAGCTAGCACCGTGGGAATGTGCCATGAGGTGAGCATGTACCATCCATCCACCCTCCTCACCCTGAGGTCGTTTTTTAGGCGCCTCAAAAACGTCCTCTGTGCCATGAGGTGAGCATGTACCATCCATCCACCTTCCTCACCCTGCCTGGCAGGCCATTCAGCTGCGGCGGTTCAACGTCTGGGAAGAAACCAAGGAGGCCCGGGGGGAGCCTGTATGGCACCATTTTCCCACGGCAGGCCATTCAGCAATACCTCGTCCCTCCACTCTCACACGGCAGGCCATTCAGCAATACCTCGTCCCTCCACTCTCACCCGGCAGCCCATTCAGCAATACCTCGTCCCTCCACTCTCACCCGGCAGGCCATTCAGCAATACCTCGTCCCTCCACTCTCACAAGGCAGGCCATTCAGCAATACCTCGTCCTCCACTCTCACCCGGCAGGCCATTCAGCAATACCTCGTCCCTCCACTCTCACCCGGCAGGCCATTCAGCAATACCTCGTCCCTCCACTCTCACCCGGCAGGCCATTCAGCAATACCTCGTCCCTCCACTCTCACCCGGCAGGCCATTCAGCAATACCTCGTCCCTCCACTCTCACCCCTTACCCATGGCAGGCCATTCAGTTGCGGCGGTTCAACGTGTGGGGGGAAACCAAGGAGGCCCGGGGGGAGTGTGTGACAGACCGCCTCATGTTTCGCAGCAAATTGCCGGCGTATGATCACGGCATGCACAGATACCATGACAAAGTGGCTGTCAACCCTCAGACGATCCTCCCCTAGTGAGTGCCGTCAGCCCACACACACACCACTCACCCCTGTTGAGACCATGGGGAGTGTGTGACAGACCGCCGCCAGATGTGGTGCTGCCGCTTGCCGGCGTTTGATCACGGCATGCACAGATACCATGTCAAAGTGGCCGTCAACCCTCAGACGATCCTTCCCTAGTGAGTTTAGGGTTAGGGTTTAGGAACGCCAACCCACACCCCGTTCTCCCCTAGTGACTGCTGTCAACCCACACCCTGTTCTCCCCTAGTGACTGCTGTCAACCCACACCCCGTTCTCCCCTAGTGACTGCTGTCAACCCACACCCCGTTCTCCCCTAGTGACTGCTGTCAACCCACACCCAGTTCTCCCCTAGTGACTGCTGTCAACCCACACCCCGTTCTCCCCTAGTGACTGCTGCCAACCCACACACCATACTTCCCTAGTGACTGCTTATCAGCACAATCACTCCCCTCTCTGTCTTGATAATTATTTCTCTCCTGCCTTCCTTCCTTGTCATAGAGTCACCAGAGGCGTCACAGCACCACCTAATTGCTACAACACGCCTTGAGGCGCCTCAAAAACCACCAGACATGTCACAGCACCACCTGATTGTCACAGCATGCTGCTTACTCCCCCCCCACATTCCGCCCCTCTTACGTGCCGCCCCTTCCACATCCCGCCCCTCTCCTCCCATGCAGCACGGTGGGCATCCATGCCACCACAGCTCCAGAAGACTCCACAGCGGTAGCGCCACCAGAGGTGCTGCGGCTGAGCCACTACACGGCAGGGCAGATCGACCTGCACTTTGCTCTGAGCAACGACTCCATGAGTGCTGTGGAGGACCCGGGGCTCTTCTGGTCACCGCAGCCTGTATCACCCACTTCACTGCTCACGTCCTCTCTCGCTTTCCGCCCCTCCCGCATTCCACCCCTCCCACATCCCGCCCCTCTCTCATGCCGCCCCTCTCCTCCCATACAGCACGGTGGGCATCCATAGCACCACAGCTCCAGAAGACTCCACAGCGGTAGCGCCACCAGAGGTGCTGCGGCTGAACCACTACACCGCAGGGCAGATCGACCTGCACTTTGCACTCAGCATCGACTCCACGAAAGTTGTCGAGGACCAGGGCCTCTTCTGGTCGCGTAACCGCACACGGCACTGCCGCGCACTGCCTTGTGGGGCGAGGGATACTACTAACCCCAACACCCCTGTGGAGTGCTGGCCCTTCTGCCAGCTACCTTGGGGAAAGCAGGAGTAGGAGTGTGAGAGAGCCACTTCAAACAGAGCATCGACTCCATGAGTGTTGTGGCGGACCAGGGGCTCTTCTGGTCGCCTTTTGAGACGTCTCAAAACTCCATGAGTGTTGTGGCGGACCAGGGGCTCTTCTGGTCGCCTTTTGAGACGTCTCAAAACTCCATGAGTGTTGTGGCGGACCAGGGGCTCTTCTGGTCGCCTTTTGAGACGTCTCAAAACTCCATGAGTGTTGTGGCGGACCAGGGGCTCTTCTGGTCGCGCAACCGCACGCGGGACTGCCGGGCGCTGCCTTGCGGTGCGAGGGATACTATTAACCCGAACACTCCTGTGGAGTGCTGCCCCCTCTGCCAGCCGCCTTGGGTCGGGCAGGAGTAGACGTCTGAGAGAGCCTCTTCTCCTACACCTTCCTGACAGCATTTACAATATTTGCCAGTAACAAAACACTTAATATTTTATATTTATTCCGAGCAATGAGGGGAACTGAGCCCACCTAGATTGCTGCTTGGAGTATTACGGTATGTGGGGCTTCACATAGTGGAAGGCTTGTCATCTTTTCCTTTTTGTGCATACCGTACCAATCTGCACCTACGCTCCTGGAGCAACACCTTTATCCCTATGCTCCTATGCTCCTTTGATTCGATCCCTTCCCTTCGTTATTTAGACTCCAGAGGCAACACCTTACAAGCTTCTAGGAGCCTTGTTCTGCTATCTTCACTTCATCCACACTCCTCAAATCCCTTCTTATTAGTCTCGAGAGGCAGCGCAATCTGCTCTGCTCTGCTCATACGTAGGATGTGACTGATAACGTGGGGCCTGGACTGCGCCACAACTGCAGCCAGCGCTATCTTTATGTACGCTCCTCCGATCCCTTCGTTTTGAGGCGCCTCAAAACTAGACTTCTCACACGTAGGATGTGACTGATAACGTGGGGACTGCACTGCGCCACAACTGCAGCCAGCGCTATCTTTATGACTTTTGAGTCGATTCAAAAGAGAGGCGGCGAAATCTGCTCTGCTCATACGTAGGATGTGACTGATAACGTGGGGCACAACTGGCAGCGCCACAACTGCAGCCAGCGCTATCTTTATGACTTTTGAGTCGACTCAAAAGAGAGGCGGCGAAATCTGCTCTGCTCATACGTAGGATGTGACTGATAACGTGGGGCACAACTGGCAGCGCCACAACTGCAGCCAGCGCTATCTTTATGTACGCTCCTCTGATCCCTTCGTATTAGGCTCCAGAGGCAACATTCGAGACGTAACAAAAGAAAGAAAGAAAAACCCATCCACGCTCCTAGGATTCCTTCTTAGTGGTCTCCAGAGGCAACACAATCTGCTCATCCAGCTGCTGTGATTGCGCCGCCGCTGCCCCAATCCTCCTCAGCCTGCTCATCAGAACCGCCCCTGCTCCCCGGTCCAGGGAGTCATGCCAGTTGAACATGTCCTGTGGCGTGAGCAGGTGAGTGGGGAGTGGGGAGCAGATGTTGCGGTGAGAATACATACAGCAGGACCGCCCCTGCGCCCTGGTCCAGGGAATCATGCCACTTGAACATGTCCTGTGGCGCGAGCATGAGGGGAGAGAGGGGAGTAAGGAGTGCGGAGTGGTGAGCTGCGGTTGAGCCAACACTGTTCCAATCTTCCTCAGCCTGCTGATCAGAACCGCCCCTGCTGCCTCTGCCCCCCGGTCCAGGGAATCATGCCACTTGAACATGTCCTGTGGCGCGAGCATGAGGGCAGGGGGGGTGGGGAGTTAGGAATGGGGAATGGGGAATGGGGAATGGGGAATGGGGAATGGGGAATGGGGAATGGGGAACGGGGAAGGAATGGGGAATGGGGAATGGGCAGCACCCCTGCTCCCTGGTCTAGAGAGTCATGCCACTTGAACATGTCCTGTGGCATGAGCAGGCGAGTGGGGATTGGGGAGCAGATGTTGCGGTGAGAATACATACAGCAGGACCGCCCCTGCTCCCTGGTCCAGGGAATCATGCCACTTGAACATGTCCTGTGGCGCGAGCATGAGGGCAGGGGGGGTGGGGAGTTAGGAATTGGGAATGGGGAATGGGGAATGGGGAGCACCCCTGCTCCCTGGTCTAGAAAGTCATGCCACTTGAACATCTCCTGTGGCATGGGCACAAGGGGTGGGGGAGTGGTGAGTGGTGAGTGGGGAATGGGGAACGGGGAACGGGGAATGGGCAGCACCCCTGCTCCCTGGTTAAGAGAGTCATGCCACTTGTGAACATCTCCTGTGGCATGAGCAAAAGGGCAGGGGAACAGGAAGTGACGAGTGGGGAGTGGGGAGGGGGAATTTCCACTCCCACCTGCCCCACTCCCACCTGCCCCACTCCCACCTGCCCCACTCCCACCTGCCCCACTCCCACCTGCCCCACTCCCACCTGCCCCACTCCCACCTGCCCCAATCCCACGTGCCCCAATCCCACCGGCCCCACTCCCACCTGCCCCAGCCCCAGCCCCCACCTGTTCCATTCCCAGTCCCACCCCACCTGCACGAGCCCCAGGTTGTGTTGCAGCCTCTCCACGAGCCCCGGCTGATCAAACGCCTCCTGCAGGCGGCGGGGCAGTGAGTTGAGATCGGCCGGGTCGATGTTGAGCGAGAACACCGGGTAGTTGAGGGCCGAGGGCGCCGAGGGGGAGGCAGAATGGTGGTAGAGGGATGCGGCCCAGGGGTTGTCGTTGGCACGGAGGAAGGTCACTGGGATGCAGCCTGAAAGGATTGCCTGGGACAGAAGATGGGAGGAGAGTGAGGGAGGGAGGAAAGGGAGGAAGGGGAGGGAAGGGAGGGAGGGAAAGGGAGGGAAGGGGAGGGAGAGGAGGGAGGGGAGGGGTGTGGGCTACGAAGTAGAGTGCAATGCACAAGTGTGATTGTAAGGTGGGAGAGTGAGGGAGGAGAGTGAGGAAGGAGAGTGAGGAAGGAGAGTGAGGTGGGAGAGTGAGGTGGGAGAGTGAGGTGGGAGAGCGAGGAAGGAGAGTGAGGTGGGAGAGTGAGGTGGGAGAGTGAGGTGGGAGAGCGAGGAAGGAGAGTGAGAAGGGAGAGTGAGAAAGGAACTCACCTTGGCATCGCCGGATCTCTCGCCGATGCTGTGCTCCTGCAGAAGATTGCCAACCTAGATTTCAAGGTGAGTTTATTTCATAACGCTTTTGTTCTCTGTTTATTCCGGTTTATAACTGCGGTCCACTGGGCGCAACCAGGCGGAATGAGGCAGACAAGCCTGGCTGTTGGGAGTTCGGGTTTTCGGGTTTAAGGAGCTCATTTGAACCCTTGGCCAGCTAGGAGCTCACCTTTGCCAGCTGGAAGGTCCACTGGGCGCGACCAGGTGGAATGAGACAGAAGACACTACTGCCCCACTCGCTGTTGTCACCAGCACCAGCACCAGCACCAGCACCAGCACCATCACCATCACCATCACCAGCACCAGCATCAGCAGCAGCCGCAGCATCAGCAGTAGCAAGAGTAATTTCAGCGGTATCCCCCCGGACCCCTAAAGCCTCCTCGTTGTCATTCCGGAACACCACCGTCCACCCCTCAATGGCCGCTGCATTGGATGCGTAGAGCTTGGGGGGGGAGTGGGGGAAGGGGGAAGGGGGAAGGGAGGAGAGAGGGGGGGGAGGGGGGGGGGGGGGTTCATTCATTCAGAGTGCTTATGGGACGCTTTAACATTTGTACCCTCAACCTGCTTCGCTTCGGAACACCACCGTCCACCCCTCATTGAGTGCAGTGCTGCATTGGACGCGTAGAGCTGGGGGGGAAGTGGGAAGGGAGCAGAATGGGGGATCTGTGGAAACTTTTGAGATTTGACAAGTCTCAGAATTCAAACCCTAGAAGCCTCCTTGTTTGTCACGGCGGAGCACCACCGTCCAACACCCTCAACCATCTCAACCAACCAACCACCACCCCTCTCAACCACACTCATCTCTATGATTCACCCCTCGCCTCTATCAACCATAGTTCTCTCACCACCCCTTACCCCAGTCAACTACTCCTCACCTCACCCCTCTCAACCACCCCCCACCACCCCTCAACCCCCTCAACCACCCCTCACCTCTATCAACCACTTCTCCACCGCATAGTTGTGGTGCAACCCTTCATTCATCCTGAAGTTGCTTATGTCAGCAACGTTGGCCGCTGACGTCACCATAAGCACACGGATAGTGCGACCTCCATAGGCAGGTGGGGCGGCGGCAGCAGCAGCAGAAGCACCTGAAAAACCACCTGACCCATCGCCTCCAGCAGCAGCAGCAGCAGCAGCAGCAGCAGCAGCAGTGTGTGCGTGTGTGGGGGGGATGACGTGTGTCTGAGTCAGCAGGGGCGGCACTACCACGTCTCGCCCGGGCGAATAGCAGGCGATGTCTGGAATAGACACGTTCATTGGCGCTCCGTAGTTATATGATAGCACCTGCAAGCGCCACGGTAGCAGCAGGAGCGAGCAGAGCAGCAGTAGGGAGCAGAGCAGCAGGAGCGAGCATAGCAGCAGGGTGGGGAGGGGGAGGGCGAGAGGGAGGGGAAAGGGGAGGGGAAGAGGTGGTGGGGGAAACGCGTGGGGGATGAAGGATATGGGGAAGGGGGGCGACGGCGGAGAAGGGAAAGGGGAGGAAGGGGGAGATGGGGGGAGATGGGGTGAACACGTGTGTAATGTACATCAGATTGGTTCAAAGGCCAAAATGCGTGACATCTCAAGAGCACCTCCACCCGAACTTCCACCCGAACATCCACCTGAATCTCCATCTGAACCTCCATCTGAACCTCCACCCGAATTTGCACCTGAAATCTCACCTGAACCTCAACTTAATCCTTCACCTGGAACTTTAATTCTCCTCAACTTAATCTGCGATGCGTATGGTGCGCATGGTAAGAAAGAGATTAAACAATCGCTTACCCTCATATCGGGTGTCCATCCCGTGTGAACGCTCCGCACCAAAACATCCCCGTTATAAGTCACGAAGAACATCTCGCCAAGCATCTTGGGGTTTATGTACGTCAGCGCATCGCATCTCCCGTTCCGCGTCGACAAAATCGAAAAGTGATCGCGGCCGTTGGATCGGTAAAAGTGCGGCTCGCGCCGAACCTTGGTCAGCAGAGCCATCCAAACCTTCGAGACCTTCTCTACCGCGTCGCGCACGTCCGAACCTCCTTTCGAGACGCTTAGGTAATACTGTAGCAGCCGGGCAGAGTAAAATGGCACGAAGAACAAACTAGCCTGTTTCGGGTCGCGGGTTCGAACCCCACCAGCGTCAGATACAATCTGCTCCGTCAATTTCCGTTCGAGGTCGAAATGTAAGGCGTACGGCGGTACGTCCATCGAGGAGATGCCATCCGTACAGTTGGTCCCGAAATCGTACACGTAAATAAACGGCTTCTTCTCTTCCGCAGCAGCCGCCGTGAGAAGCGGATTGGATGTGTCCGCAGGACTAGTCGGTAACCGCGCGTACACGTTATAAGGGCTAGCCGCCTTGTATTCTATAGGCCGAATCGGAGCAGCGCCGCCGACCGATGAACACTTAACTCTAGCAGCGGAAAGCTCGTCACTAACGGGGAAAACGGCACTGGCACTGGAGCCCGTGCTGACGTCATTATCGCACGTACAAGCCGGCTGCTCTTGACGGAGGATGCACAGCGTTGCGATAAGGCCGATAGTCGCAAGAAGGACGACAACGAGGCGATTCGACGAGAGGCTCTTAGAAGGTGCTAAGGGCGCGTCGGGCACAAGAGGACTCAACGACATGATGCTGTCGGTTGCACAAACTGTTCTGCAAGAGGACTCGACGATATTTTGTCTCCCTCCCAGACGAGTCGGATTTTCCAACTCCAAATTTGACGAGAAAAATACCATTTGAGGTCGCTCAAATTCTCCTACTTGGCTGAGTTCGCTCTGTTCTGCTTCACCCATCTAGTCTTCGCTGCACAGTTGTTTGTATGGTTGGTTCCTCCGAGAAACGTATCCTGTCCATAATTATCATCCATCAATATTCAGAAAGGTGGGTATCGGCTCGAAGCGGTAACTCTTTTATATCGCACGGTTTTGTGCCGAGTAACGAACTGATTGGTGCGGCTTGGAGATGTACGCTACGGTCTTCCGAGCCTGCTTCAGGGCTTCCGAGCCCATAGTCTGAGATGATTGGTGACGCTCGGATTCTTGCGTGGTTCGGACTAAACCGAACGTAACAAAGCGGAATGTGAATTGTGGGGCTGCGTGACAGGCGAGAGGGAGTTGTCTCGTCGTTTACCCCCAGCCAATCAGTTTTGTGACACGATCATGTCACGCCAAACAGCAGAGTGTACGGCCGCCAACCACTAGCTCGAGGTTTCATCGAGGGGCTGACCTGGGCTTGGGCAGGAGAGATCGGGGCGTGTTGCGGAATGAGTGGACAAAAACGCAAACACAAAATACAAGCGCCAGTGCTTATTGAAACGCCTGGGCGTTTTATGTGTTTCTTCGTTTTTAAACGCAGGACTAAAACCAGGACTGCATTCATTGGCAGGAGTTGAGCTAGAACTTCTCCCATCGACTGCGTGAACTGTGATTGCAACGATTTCACGAAATGGCCGTGTCTGTCCCATTGCACGAAGCCCAGCAACGAGGGGAAGGGCTCTCTCAAGAACTTTAAATGACACCATAGTGACTAAATACCCTCTGTCATCAATCAAAATAGACCTGGACTTTTGGTTCTGATTACACTAGCCAGCCAGATGCACACCGAGCAGCATCACGACAAGTCGAACCTGGACTGCCAAATTCGCCTGAACTCCAACGTCTGTTTGTTGCCACTGTAACAGAAGAAGTTGCACATTGTTGGTCAAACGAAAACGCGTGAGCGACGTTCGCAGAAGCAGTGAAGTCAATGTGAGACTTCCTGATTGTAAACCACAAAATTTGTCGAAGCTGAACCAGACCAAGTGGCCAAGCTGGCTGAAAACTCCCCTCCCTAACCAAGCCACCGCATCTGTCACCGAGCCACTCAATCATGCCGAACCAAAACAAATACCAACCAGCCAGACCCAACTGTTGTTGCCTCGCAAAAAACTCTGACTGATGTTTGAGCTACACCTACTCGTCGAACTACGTACCACGAGGGCTGCTCGTCTCGATGATGGATGCTATTCGCTCGCGTCGCGGCTGAGTCTTTTCACTTTAGTGCTTCTCAGACCCAGTCTAGAGACGTCGAGTTGCTTCGTCGTTGAATGAGCAGCAGCCGTTTTAGCTAACAGTGACAGCAGCGAGATCAGCGACAACAGCAAGATTGGATTACTTCAGCATAAACCCAGTGTCTATCTACCATCTGAGATTCTTGACAGCGCATTCAAACCCTTTCTGAACACTCGTTCTGAACTTGGCCCTCAGACCGTCTTCGCGATTCCCGGACCCGTCATGTTCTCGAAGGAGATGGTAGTTCTGGACGTCTCTAAAATCAGAGTACATGCCGCTAAGATGCAGCAGCTGTTAAGTCCGAAGCGCGTTCCCATACACTTCGCCTTCGTGACCATCGCGTCGCTCATCTTGATAGTGCTTTTATGCAGTTCGTATTTGCAGCTGCCATTGCAAGACTGCTTCTGTCCAAACCTAGAGAATCCCGAGCTGTCTACCGCCTCCGCCTCCGCCGCCGCCGCCGCTTCCGCCGCGTCTCTTGCCAGAGACCTCGGTACCGCAAGACGCAGTTTAGAAACCCGTGGAGCTTCCGCCTCCGCCGCCGCCGTTCCCGCTGCAAGAGACTCGCAGCCTTCTCCGGCAGCGACGATCGGATCCGTCGCCGCGTTTTCCGGCGGGACCGACGGGGCCAATCAGGACGCAGCGGACGACGATAGCAACCGGCCGTTTATATACGTGTACGACACGCAACGGGCGTGGACGGAGAACCTTAAGGGCACCAACAAGGAGTGGTATTCGGACCAGTACGAAGTAGAATCGGTGCTGACGGAGTTAATTAAAGACAGCAACGCGGTTCGCACGACGGATCCGGACAAGGCGACGCTGTTCTACGTGCCTTACTATTCGGCGAATCACATCATGCATGTGAACAAGCTGATGAAAAACATGATGCATACTTCGGTCGGGGAAGTCTCTAAGGTGAGTTTGAGAGTCGGCTTATGTCGAATTGAACCACATCATGCATGTGAACAAGCTGATGAAAAACATTATGCATACTTCGGTCGGGGAAGTCTCTAAGGTGAGTTTGAAAGTCGGCTTATATCGAGTCGAACCGCATCATGCATGTGAACAAGCAGATGAAGAACATGATGCATACTTCGGTCGGGGAAGTTTCTAAGGTGAGTTGCGAGTCGGCTTATATCGAGTCGGGGCGTGTTCAAACTTGCTTACACGTCGAACCACATCATGGATGTATGAACGTGAGATTACATTTGTTTTGAGACGTTTCGAAACAATCATATCTTCACAAAGCTGTGAGTCCGCTTATGCTGAGTCACGCCGTGCACAGTTGCTGACTACACTGCAACCACTTCGTGGATGTATATGTGAACAAGTCAAGTATGTGATTAGGTTCAAGACGAACATGCTCCAGAAGGTCGTGGGAGAGGTGGCTAAGGCGACTCGCGAGTCTTCTTATATCGAGTCAAACGGCATCGTGCATATATGTGAACAAATTAAAGACGAACATGCTTCAGAAGGCCATGGAAGAGTGGCTAAGGTGACTCGCGAGTCTGCCCCTCTTCCTCTCTTCCCCTCGTCCCCTCCTCCCCTCGTCCCCTCCCCTCCCCACGTCCCCTCGTCCTCTCTTCTCTTCCACCAGGCGTGGCACGACATTCTCACCATGATTCGCCGCGATTTTCCCTTCTTCAACCGCACCAACGGCCGAGATCACTTCAGCACGAGCACGTTCGATCAGGGCCGTTGCCACGCGTTGACGTGGGTCAACCCGGATTTGTACGGCGAGATGTTCTTCGTGATGCTCAACGGGGACCGCCTCGCGCGCACCATCCACGCTTCTGTCGAGCGAAACCTGCAGGTGCGGCAGGAAAAGCTGCAGGTTCGGGAGGGAATGCTGCAGGTTCGGGAGGGAAAGCTGTATGTTTGGCAGGAAAAGCTGCAGGTTCGGGAGGGAAAGCTGCAGGTTTGGGAGAGAAAGCTGCAGGTATGGGAGAGAAAGCTGCAGGTTTGGGAGGAAAAGCTGCAGGTTCGGGAGGGAAAGCTGCAGGTTTGGGAGGAAAATCTGCAGGTTTGGGAGGAAAAGCTGCAGGCTTGGGAGGAAAAGCTGCAGGTTTGGAAGGAAAAGCTTCAGGTTTGGGAGAAAAAGCTGCAGGTTTGGGAGGAATAGCTGCAGGTTTGGGAGGAATAGCTGCAGGTTTGGAAGGACTCTCCCACCTCCCCTTTGCCCTCTCCCATCTCCCCTCTCCCCTCTCCCCTCTCCCATCTCCCCTCTCCCATCTCCCATCTCCCCTCTCCCCTCTCCCCTCTCCCCTCTCCCATCTCCCCTCTCCCATCTCCCCTCTCCCCTCTCCCATCTCCCCTCTCCCATCTCCCCTCTCCCCTCTCCCCTCTCCTTCTCCCCTCTCCCATCTCCCATCTCCCATCTCCCCTCTCCCATCTCCCCTCTCCCATCTCCCATCTCCCCTCTCCCCTCTCCTCTCTCCCTTCTCCCATCTCCCCTCTCCCATCTCCCCTCTCCCATCTCCCCTCTCCCATCTCCCATCTCCCATCTCCCATCTCCCATCTCCCCTCTCCCATCTCCCATCTCCCTTCTCCCACTCGCCCCCTCTCAGATCATAGGCTGCAGCTACAACTCTCGCCAGTGCACTCATGTGTGCTAAATTGCTAATCCCTCCCATCTTCCGTCTCCCCTCTCCCATCTCCCCTCTCCCCTCTCCCCTCTCTCCTCTCCCCTCTCCCATCTCCCATTCCTACTTGCCCCCGCTCAGATCATAGGATACACATACAACTCGCCCGTGCAGCCGCAGTTTCATGCTACATGAGCTGTAATGCCTCTAACCCGCAACCCCACTCCACCCACCCAACCCCCTCACCCCTCGCAGATCATAGGATACACATACAACTCGCCCGTGCAGCCGCAGTTCCCAGACATTCCATGCTACATGCCCGACCGCGATATTGTCGTGCCTGCTTTCATTGGCGATCAGGTGGTTATATATATTTATATACACATATATATATATACATGTGTATGTACATGTATTTTTATGAATATGCATACATACATACATACATACATACATACATACATACATACATACATACATACATACATACACACATACATACATACATACATACATACATACATACATACACACATACATACATACATACATACGTACATACATACATACATACATACATACATACATACATACATACATACATACATACATACATACATACACACATACATACATACATACATACATACATTTCACCACCCCCTTTTTGTTCTAATCTTCTCAGATACCCATGGTATCGCCCTTCACTGGCAGCCACCCCATTCAAGCCATCTTCCGTTTCTCACTTGCTGCCTCTTCTTCTGCACACACGTCCCACTCCCCCCTTCATGTCCCACTCCCCCCTTCACGTCCCACTCCCCCCTTCATGTCCCACTCCCCCCTTCATGTCCCACTGCCCGCACCTCCCACTCCCTCCCACCCTCCACCCCCCAATCCCCACCCACCGCTTAGATACCCATACTGTCGCCCTTCACTGGCAGCCGCCTCATACAAGCCATCTTCCACTTCTCACCTTCTCCCCTGGTCCTCCCCTTATGTTCAAATGTCCCCTCATGTCCTACTCTCAAACAGTCCGTTGTATTGATTCAGCAGGGGTACAAGCCATCTTCCGCTTCTCACCCTCTCCCCTGCTCATACCCACATGTCCCTCTCCCCTCCCTCCCCCCCCAGATACCCATGGTGTCGCCCTTCTCTGGCAATCGCCCCATTCAAGCCATCTTCCGCTTCTCAGCCCAGCAGGGCCACAGAGCGCCTCTCATGCACCACGGCCATGACTTACGGCCTGAGCTGCTCGCTGTATGTGTGAGAGGGGGAGGGAGTGGGAGCGGGGCGTGGGGAGTGGGTGGGGGGTGAGGGGAGGGGAGGGGAGGGGGGGGAGGAGAGAGGGAGAGGGAGGGAGGGATCAGGGGCGTGGAGAGAGTTTTGAGTCGTCTTGAAGTATGGATGGATAGTGATTGAGTGCAAGCTTCCCTCCCTCCCCTCCCTGCCCTTCACTCTCCTAACCCACCGTCCCCTCCCCTCCTAACAACCCCTTGGGCGAGCAGATGTACCAGAAGCAGCGCGTCAAGGGGTGGAGCTTCGCAGCCAAGGGGGAGAATCAGACAAACAAGGAGCGTCCCCTTCGGAGTCGACTCAAAGGTTCCTTCCCTCCCCTCCCTGCCCTCCACTCTCCGACCCTACCGTCCCCTCCCCTCCCAACAACTCTGTTGGGCGGGCAGATGTACCAGAAGCAGCGCGTCAAGGGGTGGAGCTTTGCAGCGAAAGGGGAGAATCAGACGAACAAGGAGTGGCAGTACAGCGTTTTCTGCATCTGCCCGTCCGGGCACTCGCAGTGGACCAGCCGCCCCTTCAAGGTGCGTTGTGCGTGGATGCGTCGTGTGGGATTGGTAGCTTCCCAATCTCTCAAGGGGGAGTTGACTTTTGAGTCGACTCAAAACTCATGCGTTGTGTGTGTGGGATTGGTAGCTTCCCAATCTCTCAAGGGGGAGTTGACTTTTGAGTCGACTCAAAACTCATGCGTTGTGTGTGTGGGATTGGTAGCTTCCCAATCTCTCAAGGGGGAGTTGACTTTTGAGTCGACTCAAAACTCATGCGTTGTGTGTGTGGGATTGGTAGCTTCCCAATCTCTCAAGGGGGAGTTGACTTTTGAGTCGACTCAAAACTCATGCGTTGTGTGTGTGGGATTGATAGCTTCCCAATCTCTCAAGGGGGAGTTGACTTTTGAGTCGACTCAAAACTCATGCGTTGTGTGTGTGGGATTGGTAGCTTCCCAATCTCTCAAGGGGGAGTTGACTTTTGAGTCGACTCAAAACTCATGCGTTGTGTGTGTGGGATTGGTAGCTTCCCAATCTCTCAAGGGGGAGTTGACTTTTGAGTCGACTCAAAACTCATGCGTTGTGTGTGTGGGATTGGTAGCTTCCCAATCTCTCAAGGGGGAGTTGACTTTTGAGTCGACTCAAAACTCATGCGTTGTGTGTGTGGGATTGGTAGCTTCCCAATCTCTCAAGGGGGAGTTGACTTTTGAGTCGACTCAAAACTCATGCGTTGTGTGTGTGGGATTGGTAGCTTCCCAATCTCTCAAGGGGGAGTTGACTTTTGAGTCGACTCAAAACTCATGCGTTGTGTGTGTGGGATTGGTAGCTTCCCAATCTCTCAAGGGGGAGTTGACTTTTGAGTCGACTCAAAACTCATGCGTTGTGTGTGTGGGATTGGTAGCTTCCCAATCTCTCAAGGGGGAGTTGACTTTTGAGTCGACTCAAAACTCATGCGTTGTGTGTGTGGGATTGGTAGCTTCCCAATCTCTCAAGGGGGAGTTGACTTTTGAGTCGACTCAAAACTCATGCGTTGTGTGTGTGGGATTGGTAGCTTCCCAATCTCTCAAGGGGGAGTTGACTTTTGAGTCGACTCAAAACTCATGCGTTGTGTGTGTGGGATTGGTAGCTTCCCAATCTCTCAAGGGGGAGTTGACTTTTGAGTCGACTCAAAACTCATGCGTTGTGTGTGTGGGATTGGTAGCTTCCCAATCTCTCAAGGGGGAGTTGACTTTTGAGTCGACTCAAAACTCATGCGTTGTGTGTGTGGGATTGGTAGCTTCCCAATCTCTCAAGGGGGAGTTGACTTTTGAGTCGACTCAAAACTCATGCGTTGTGTGTGTGGGATTGGTAGCTTCCCAATCTCTCAAGGGGGAGTTGACTTTTGAGTCGACTCAAAACTCATGCGTTGTGTGTGTGGGATTGGTAGCTTCCCAATCTCTCAAGGGGGAGTTGACTTTTGAGTCGACTCAAAACTCATGCGTTGTGTGTGTGGGATTGGTAGCTTCCCAATCTCTCAAGGGGGAGTTGACTTTTGAGTCGACTCAAAACTCATGCGTTGTGTGTGTGGGATTGGTAGCTTCCCAATCTCTCAAGGGGGAGTTGACTTTTGAGTCGACTCAAAACTCATGCGTTGTGTGTGTGGGATTGGTAGCTTCCCAATCTCTCAAGGGGAGAACGCGACCAACAAGGAGTGGCAGCATAGCGTCTTTTGCATCTGCCCCCCCGGGTCACTCCCAGTGGACCAGTCGCCCCTTCAAGGTGTGACTGGCTACAGTAATGGTAACCCAACCATACGGAATTTGTAACCCAATCATACAGTAACAGTTTTTGTATAGGCTGCATCCGAGGGGGTGCGGGTCATCAAAGTCGATCAACTCAATCTAGTCAATGAGCTCATTCAAATGGTCACGACAACCCCGTTCACCGTGCCCCTCCCCTCACCTTGTTCTCCCTTTCATTCCCCCCTTTTCCCCACGTTTCCTGCTTCCCCCCACCTGCTTCGCAAGGCGCTCATCTCCGGGTGCATCCCCGTGGACTAGCACAGAAGCACTTGCCTTGACTCGGTTTTTGAGCCGACTAAAAACCGCCAGGCTCTCATCTCCAGGTGCATCCCAGTGGACTAGCACCTGCCTTTACTCACCCTTGCTTCCCCCCCCTCCCCCCCATACATTTTCCCGTTCATTCCCCCATTTCCCGCGTTCCAGGCGCTCATCTCAGGGTGCATCCCAGTGACGTTTTTCCGCGACCACGACAACCCCTGGGGCGATGAGGTGGACTATTCAGCCTTCTCCATCAACATCGATCCGGACGACATTGCTTCGCTGCGCTACCGCCTCGAGACCGCCCCCGTGGAGCAGCTGCAACGTGGCGTGGAGAAGATGCAGGTGGGTTATAGTAATCTATGTTGGAATTAGCGCGGCCAGCATTTTGGTCGTCAGCGTCCACACGCTGGCGTGAAAACGCTAGACGCTTGCTCCTTGGAGTAACTAGACATTTGTATCAGTATGCTCCAATGTCTAGTTGTGCGCCATGTAGACGAGATCACGTCACTTTTCCAAACCATAAAGCTGTTGCGCAGTGCCATGTGCACAATCGGTGTCAGAAGACCAGCACTGATGATGTTCGATTGATCCTAGGGAACGGTTACACGTGCAGAGCCTGGTGGGTTATCAGCGCACTGATCCGCTACTCAACAAGTCATTTTATCTTAGTGGTATAGTGGTTGGGATTCTGACATGTTATCAGAGCGAAGGTCTCGGATTTGAATCCCCATGGTGTGCACATGTTGACGCTGCCGCTGCGCGGTGTCCTATGGCATCCCTATGAAGGGGGTTTTTGAAGACCAATACTGAGGATGCCTGATCGATCCTAGGAAAGGGTTACAAGTGCATAGCCTGGGAGGTTATGGGAGCACTGAACCGCCATTTGAAGTTGTCATCTCCTCTTTACGCCGCCACCGTGGCGGTCGAGAAGGTTCGATAGCTCATCTCTCGCTCTCTCGTTTTGGTGTCTGTGTTCAAATGGTTGTGCGCGCACACATGAGGGATGGAGTTCGAGCTTTTAAGGAGGTCTTGACATAAGGGTGCTCCTTTCCTCGTGTAACCCCCCATCCCCCTTTCCCCGCCTCCCGCTCTCTCCCTTTGATGCCATCAGTACATGCTCAAGTGGTACGAGCTTGTAAAAAAGACTTCCCCTTCCCCCCCTCCCCTCTTGTTCGCCCCCTCTCCCCCTGATGCCATCAGTACATGTTCAAGTGGTCGCGGACACACACATGGGGTGCGGGGTTGGAACTTTGACATGAAACCTCACCTTCCACCCCTTACCTCCCCCCCTTCCTTTCCCCCTCTCATCCCCCCTCCTCGTCACCAGTACATGTTGAAGTCGTCACCCGCGCGCACACATGGGGAGCAGAGTACGAGCTTGTGAAGAGGACTTGACCCCTTTCCCCCCTCCTCTGTCCCCCCCATCTCCCCCTTATGCCATCAGTACGTGTTCAAGTGGTCGCGAACACACACATGGGGGGCGGAGTACGAGCTTTTAAAGAGGCTAAGGCAGCGAGGCAAGCAACTCTCCTCCACCTCCCTCTTCCTATAGCAGGCGTGCTTGTAACGAAATAAGTGATGGTCGAAAAGGTTTTATTGTACTGTAGTCAGAAGAAATTTCATATGGTTTGCAAGCCCACTGCTTCTTGATGTATAAGTAATGCTTGGACCTGCATTGTTTCTCTTAATGGGGAACAATAAGCTTCTATTTTACCGCAGTTGCATTGATGCTGCAGCGGCATTGAACATGACTTGCTATCCCTATTCTCTATCCACTGAAAATAAGGTGGCCTTTACTCCGACCAGCACTTGCCCCTCTTCTGTATGTAATATGCTTTTGATAATCCTTAAAAAAGGCACTTTGTGTAACCAAACACCCCCTTTTGCGCTCGAGTGATGCTTGCTAAGGCTAGTCACCTCTCATCCTTGACAGCCGCGGTAGGGGTAGCTTGACAGAGGGCGCAGGCTCGGGTCGGGTGATCCTTTTGCAAGCGGCATACCACTACCGTACCAAGCTTCAACTACCAACCAACCACTGCTCTCTATTCCAATTTCCACCTCATCATCTACTACCAAACTCCAAGTTCACATGCACACACACACACACACACACACTCTTCATCGCCGTTACATCAGCTAGCCAGTTCTTACCCGCAACCAGATCCACAGGCATTTCTGCAAAGGGCCTGGAGGCGCTTCAAAGGGCGCTCTTAACCTGATCTGAAGGTACCTGCAGCTGAATCCACACCACGCCACACCACAGACATGGGAGATCCAGCTCAGCTTCACTCTGCTCTCCTCCACAGCCTCAACCTCCAAATGCGCCCCTTTCTCCTCACACGACGCCTTGTGCTTGCAACTAAATCCAAACCACACCACAGACATGGAAAAACCGGATCAGCTTCCAATTGCTCTCCTCCACCGCCTCAACCTCCTCCTCCTCCTCCTCCTCCTCCAAATGCAGAACCTGCTCCTTTAACCCGCTGCTCACCCCATCCCCACTTCAGTTCAAACTGCTCCCCCCCATCTCCTCCTCCTCCAAATGCAGAACCTGCTGCTTTAACCCGCTGCTCACCCCATCCCCACTTCAGTTCAAACTGCTTCCCCCCATCTCCTCATCCAAATGCAGAACCTGCTGCTTTAACCCGCTGCTCACCCCATCCCCACTTCAGTTCAAACTGCTCCCCCCCATCTCCTCCTCCTCCAAATGCAGAACCTGCTCCTTTAACCCGCTGCTCACCCCATCCCCATTTCAGTTTTAGACTCCTCTCCTCCACCTCCTCCAAATGCTACATCTGCTCCTTCCACACCCCTGTCCACTCCATCCTCGTTTTACAATCACCCTCTATAAGCAACCGGGTCCACAGACATAGCCATTCCCGCTCGCCTGCACGTCCCCAGCTTCAGCTTCAAGCTACTCGCCTCCACCTCCTCCTCCTCCAAATGCGGCACCTGCTCCTCACACGGCGCCTTGTGCCTGCACGACGGTTCAGGCCCCTTCCCCGCCCTCTCTCCCCCCGGCAACCACGCTGGCCCGTACACAAAGTCCCCTGAGGGGAACACTGGGGGGGCCTGGCGGAAGGGGGGCCGCGGACGCGGAGGCGGAGGCGGGGTTTCCGAAGAGTTGGTGCTGGGGGGAGCACTGGCGGCGGTTTCGGGTGTAATTTCGAGTTTACCCGGGCCGCTGGAGGGTGGGAAGGGTCCAGGGGAAACTCGCCGGAAAATTGAGTCGAGTTTGACGCCCATGTGGGTTAAGGGGGAGTGTAGCCGGTTCTGAGGGCAGAGCACCTCCGTTACAAGCGCGTACCCAGCTCGCATGAAGATTCGATATAAGTCCTTCCCAGCCTTATCCGTCTCTACTAGCCAGGTTCGGATGTCGTAGGCTCGGAACGGGAAGCAGTGAAGCGCCGAGGCTTCCGCGCCCTCCACGTCTATACTCGCGAAATCGACGGTGTGGATTGAATGCTCGTCTAGGATCTCCTCCAACGGACGGCATCGGGCGTATCCTCGTGGAACAGGACCCGTCGGATTGAATTCGATCTCATTGTCGTCCGTCGATCCTCCCTCCCCTCCTGCTGCTGCCGCTCCAGACGGATCCTCCTTAGTCACCCGCCCGTACATTCCCCCCTGAAAATCCATTTTAAGAGTCGCGTTTCGGTCCAAAACGCACGCAGGAACTACAGTGCACGTCCGTTTATACTTAGCATATTGGTGGTAGTACTTAGGGTTTGGCTCCACGCACAGCCCGCGCCAGCCTAAGCACCGGTCGAAGAAATAAGTGTTGCTGAAATGCTCTGGGTGGCTGGATCCTATGTCTACATACACGCCCGAGCCGTACGGAATATGTCGAAAATAGTTGTGGAATAGTAGCCAATCCTGATTCGCCTGGGAAAACGACCGTGCTAGTGACCCCGGAGCGCCTTCCGCTATAGCAACGCATCGATCTACGATCTCCGGATCCGCGAATTCGCGTATAGCGGGGATGAGGTGGCTGGTGGGGAAGTGGGATGGCGGGAGGACCGGCGGAGGGGCGAAGAGCAACGGGCCGACGAGGAAGGTTCCGAGAAAGACGCCTAGGGCGGCACCGGCAGAGATTAGAGCCGTCGGATTGGCCTTGGCGGTTGCGATCAGCTCCCCGCGCCGCCGCCAAAGCTTGAGAAGCGGCGCGACTGTTAAGAGACGGAGCCGCGCCGGCAGGTCTGATGGGGCAGAAAGGCGGAAGCAAAGGTGTGGAATGGGGGAGGGGGAGGGGAAGAGGAATGAGTGTTTTAGCAGGGTAAGCTGGTCACATAGAAGCGGAAGAGGTGTCTACGCGGCGACGATAGATGAACAAAGTTTGGGTCTTATGCAAAGGATATTCTGTAATAATAAAGACGTTCGGCCCAGAGCAGGCACGTCAGAATGTTTCAAGGCAGCCTGCGACCTCAATGGCATTGCATCTCCCCGCATTTATCGAAACAGATCCGGCCTAGCCCAACAGAGATGAGAATGCAGGAGGGATGAGGCAGAAGAGGGTGGGACGACGGAGGAGCGAGCAAGGACGAGTGGACTGGACTCTAACGGGGAGTGGTGGCTTGCCTGCGAGTGGCGACGCCATGGCTGGACAAAGGTCAAGATGGCGATCAAGATGCATATTGAAAATGTTACAAATGGTACGTTTAATTTAAGCTGAATATACGTGCATCCTGCTATAGCTCAGTTGGTAGAGCGGAGGACTGTAGTTTAGCAATCCTTAGGTCACTGGTTCGAATCCGGTTGGCGGGACACTTTTTGCCCATCTTATGGGCAAGAAGGCCATGGCCACTTGGCCAACAATTTGTTGCATCTTAGGGGAATTGCTATTACCTTACCTGCATCTGCTATTCTTGTTTGCGTACATTTTATTGTGCTTGTGGAGACTGGAGAGGAACAGAATGGTCAGAATAAGCATGCCCTCACCCACCCTGCCACCCTGCGTCACTGTATTTAAGGTGGAATGGTGCTGCACCATGACTTGTTCACGAGTCCTTGACCTAATGCCATCATCCAAAGGTGCCAACATTTCCCGTATGATTGGATTCTTCTGCTGCCTTTCGGTAGTAGCAATCAGGTTAGTAGCACCCTCCAGAATACAGGGAGAGAGCCTACAGAGTGGCGTGCCACAGTGCCAGCGCAGCGCCGTTTCCTTCCATTCATTCAGCACTCACACATATGAGGTACCGGTAGGTACTGGAGACTCTGTACAGTTGCCACAGATGAGATGAGATGAGATGAGATGAGATGGGATGGGATGGGATGGGATGGGATGGGATGGGATGGGATGGGATGGGATGGGATGGGATGGGATGGGATGGGATGGGATGGGATGGGATGGGATGGGATGGGATGGGATGAGATGAGATGAGATGAGATGAGATGAGATGAGATGAGACTAAGCAGAAGCAAGACTGTCATGGTCGGTTAGAAAGACTCACGAATCACGATCCCCCCAACACAACCCACCCACGCTGCCTCAAGAGCATCAACTCTTCTTCGAGGGTACCATAGTATGGCTGACGCTTTTTTGAGGCGCCTCAAAACGCAACCCACGCTGCCTCAAGACCACAAGAACCGCACATTCCTCATTCACAGCACGGCTCACGCTTGTGCAGATCCCTGCAGCCACCGCACTCCACAGCATGGGACCGCTTCCTATCCTTCAAAAGGGGAGGCAAGCTGGGCGCCTCATTCATTGCACGGCTCACGCTTGTGCAGATCCCTGCAGCCATCACAGTCCACAGCATGGAACCAATTCCTGTCCTTCAACAGGGGAAACAGGCTAGGCGGTGCACTTGGCTTATTCTCCCCACACCCTGTCACCCGGAGCTGCCTCAGTTCTGTAAAGGAGAAGAGGAAGGACGGAAGCACTTGGAGGTCAGTCCAGTGGTGCAGAGTCAACTCAGTCAACGCAGTGGCAGAGGCGAGGGAGGGAGGGAGGAAAGGCAGGTCGCACTTGGTGATTTGCAGCACACGGAGTGACGCCGGGCAGGCAATCACGGGCTTTAAGTGGGTCACTTCAAACTGGTGATATTGGTCACTATGTATGTACCTCCAATTCCACCAAGGGACCTCGATGCGAGACGATACGGTCCAGATGTCCTGCCGAATGACCGACAGGCGCAGCGTGTGCAGCTGAGTCAGCGCTGACAGGGACGCGAGCATCTCCCTGCCGCCCAGCTGGCAGCAGTTGTCGACCACTAGCGTGCGGAGCTTCGGCAGGTGCAAGAAGAGATTCCGCGAGCCTAGCTCCCCCTCGGGCTTCCCGTCCCAGTGGCAATCCGGGAGCGGCTGATACAAGTGCAAGAAGTGGAGGCTAGAGTACCATCCCTGGTCGATCCCATGCAGCCGCACCGACCAAAACACCGACAGGTGCGTGAGGCACGGGAGAGGTCCCATGTCTACCTCCATAGCCCCCCCCCAGCACTTGGTGACAATCATCTCTCGGAGGTTCGGGAACGAGAACCGGTCTCCCTCGCCCCTCCATGCTGGGTCCCAGCGGTGCGGGTTAAGTGTGGGGACCAAATCGCAGGTTGCAGGTTGGGGAGGAGGGGGAGGGATTCTGTGGCGTCGGAGAGGGCTTTGGGCGCGAGGAGGCGGGTGAGGTGGCGGAGGTGGCGGATGGATGGGGGCAGGCCGAGGGAGGAGCGGAGGGTGAGCGAGGAGAGGCGAGGCAATGAGGCTAGGCCTCGAATTGGCCCGCCTGCTGCCGCCGCTGGCGCTGCTGCTGCTGCTGCTACTCCGACTGCTGCTACTGCTGCTGCTGCTGCTGCTGCGGCTGCGGCTGGGGCATGTGCAGGTGCTTCCTGCTCCTCTCCCTCCTCCTCCGGGACCTCCTCCTTGAGTCCGAGATAATGGCTCCATACGCCGCGTCCCTCCTCGTACTCCTCCTGGTCATCATCAAACGGCACTCGGAACGACGTCTCCAGCTCCTCAAGCTGTGACAGGCGCCAGGCAGACCCGGGCATCACCATAACCACCTCGTTACAATCACCACCCGCTCGCTCCCCATTGTCACCACCCCCATCCCCATTGCAGCCGCTATTGCCATCGCCGCTGCCACAGGGAGAGTGTAGCAGAGTCAGCTTCTGGAGCCGAGACTCCAGCCCGAGAAACAGATCGGGGGAAAGGGGAAGGCCCCTCCCAGACACCCTGACTCTCAATTGGAGCTCTCTTAAAGAAGTGAGTGCACTGAAGGGTGACCCTGTCTGGAGGACAGCTGGCACGCAGTTGCGGTTACCACCGTTACCGCTGTTACCGCGGTTACCGGCACCGAGGGCGAGATTGAGAGAGGTGAGGCGGGGGAGGGAGAGGAGGGAGTGAGGGAGGTGCGAGAGAGGGAGGGAGAGGGATTGGATGCGGTGACAGTGGTCGAAGAACCACGGGGAGAGGTTTAGAAACGAGGTCAAGCCGTCGCCTTGAAGATGCAGCGAATGTAGACGCTTACACCGGGAGACCACGCCCAAGAGCCCTGCTTCAATAGCGCGACTCATTTCCTTACGCCGCTGCTGCCGCTCCTGCTCTCTCCTCGCCTCCTTCCTCTCTTGTTTAATCTCTTTCCCCCGCCTTGCCACCAGCTCTCTAGCTGCAGCCTTCACAACCATACCACAGTCTTCCACCCAACGGCTCTCGCAGTCTCGTGCTATCTCTTTCTCCTCTTCCTCCTCCTCCGCCTCCTCATCCCGCCGCGCACCTCCCTCTCCCCACTCCACCCAACCCGCCACGTCAGCCTGCACGTGGCAGCTCCTCAGCGCCCCGAGCCCTGCCACCGCGTCCAGCACCATCCTGACGTTACCCGGGCCCAAAGCCACGTCACCACGCAGGGGCACACGCACAGACGCAAGATTCAGGAACTGCAGCAGCAGCTCAGTCACCTGCCGCACAGACGGCATGTCAGCATGCCAGCAGTCACCGCAGAAACGCCTTCCATTTACATGATGATACAACCCATGCAGCCACTGGTCATGCTCGGCCATGCAGTGGTATCCTACCCGCAGCTCCTCCCTCGTCGGGTGGCACTCGTGCCCCGCGTCCCTCTCCAGCTGCAGCACCCGCCGCGCGAACCGCCGCCTGCTGCTGCTGGCGCTAAGAGGAACAGAAGAAGTAGCAGCGGAAATAGGAGAAGGAGGGGTGGTAGGAGGCGGCGCTGCAGGGTCGTCACACAACGGCGTGGAGGCCGTCTCCGTCTCCACGACGCTGCTCAACGACGAGTCCAAGGCCGACTCGGAGTCCGAATCGGCCATTCCAAGCTGCCACGCGGACGGGTCGTCGAGCACCCAAAGCGCGGACGACGACGGGTCCCACGCCTCGTTGGGTTCAGTCTCTCCGTTAGTTTGCCGTGCCGCATGACTGCGACCGCCGAGCGTTCCGCCGCCCCTGGCGCCGCTGCTCGCGGCGGCGTTGCCGGATCCGCCAGCGCGTTCGGCGCCGCGAAGCACGGGTCTCCAGCGGAGCTGGAGCGGGTCGAAAGCGAGGGAGAGATGCTGCACGGCGTGGCGGTAAGCGCGGCGCCATTCGCGGCACGCCTGCCCTGCGCGGCGGAGATGGTCGGCGGAGGTGGCGGCGCGGTGGGAGAGAAGGGTGAGCGCGTGGGAAAGACAGTCCGCAGGGAGGGACGCCGGAAGGGACGGCGGGAGGGACGGCGGGAGGGACGGTGGGAGTGCCGCGGCGCCGCTTTCTTGAAGGTCTTGACTCCGACCGCGAGTTGCGTTCTTGCGAACAACTTCTGTTTTGTTGCGGTTCGCTGCTGTTTCCGTCGTTTCGCAGCAAGCGGCGGCGGCGGCGCCTTGCGTCGATTCTCCGTTATTCGCGCAGCGATGGAACGCTGCTGACTTCTCCTGCTGCTGCTGCTGCTGCTGCGGGCTCCGTTGAGCAGGCTGCTGCTTCGTCCCCCCCCGTAGCAGCTCTTTTTCGGATCGCCGTCGCTGCTGCTTTCGTCGCACCTGCTGCTCCGACAGCTGTTGCCGCGGCGGCGATGTGTCCGCCGCCGGCACCGTGCCGCGCCGCGCCTTCGCCTTTTTTAACAGCTCCGACAGACACACCTTCACGCTCGTCAACTCCAAGGTGGTTTCTTTCGTCGAGTCGTGGACGTCGACGCTGCTGACACGTGTCTGAAGAATCTTACTCGACGCATCATGGTGATAACACAATGCTGTTATCCAGTTACTACGAGTATCAGCAATAACACGAGCGCGTCGTCTTTCTCGCTCCGTGCCTGACAACGGGCCTGCTGCGGCTGATTCCCAGCGCTGCTGCCGGCATTGGCGCAGCATTTGCCGCAGGTTACGCTGCTGGGGGTTCCGCGCTGAAAAACCCATGATAATGCGCCGCGCTGAACGCATTTACGGCTCGTCTAGTACAGATGTCCGCCTCTGCTGCGAACGGCGTGCGCCTAAGATATTCGAGATAATCTAGCTTGCGGCCTTGCGATTGTGTCAACGTGAAGGAAGAAGATGCTGTGAAAGTGTGATACTGTATTTGCGACACTCGTGCTTCCTGTGGTGAGCACGCAAGAGAAATGAGGCGGTAGTTCGGAATGGGTGGGTGGGGTGTGGAGCTGCTTGGAATGTTTGAAATTTGATTTGAATATGAAATGAAGGGGCGTGGGAGGGAGGGAGAATTGCAGCAGGTCTGGTGGGGGAGGAAAGGCGAGGAGAGTAACAGGTAGGAGGGAGTGTTCAGTAGTTCACGGGACATTTTCTTTCCGCTTCCTTTCTTCCCAAAATTCGTTTCATTTCTGATAGGATTTCCCGGGCCTGGCGCCAGACAGGATTCGGAATCCGAAACATCCAGATGAATCCGCCCTCGTTCTGGTACAATAGTGACACCTTTCCTGGGGTTTGAAAGGGTTTGATCGAGCCGCTCCTTCGACGTGAAAATATCGAGTGGAGGAGGTGACGTGTGACTGAATTGCAAAACGTGTGCAGGTTTTTCAAGGGGTTCTTGTTGTGGCGAGGTTGACCGAATTGCACGCCTTTGACCTCACTTGCTCATTATCACTGTACAATGTGCTGAACTTCACTTAGGGCGGGGTGCATCATGCTGTTTTTTAGGATCGAGATCCCAAGCGATCCTTGTTACAGTGTTTTGTCCGATATGGACAAAGATTACTGTACACTTGCTGCACCGCGATCCCAGAGGGTTGGTCAGCCACCTACCAAACAGCCTTCGAACAGGCTAGATCCCACAACCTGCGATCAGCAGCGATCAGGCGTTGTAGGTGCACCGTGTGCACACCGACCCTAGCTGGCGAATTTCTTTTGGTCGCATAACCAGGAAACGAAACAGCTGCGAGGGCATTGCGAGTGAATCACCAAATTAACTGCGACCAATAACTGTAGATGCGACTCCTTGACCGCATCTCATTGGTTGTTGGGGGTCGGGGCAATAAAACTGCAGGTGGTGCATCAAAGAAGGGGTGCCGTTGGATCGAAGGGTACCCCGAGCACACCCAACCCAACCCGAAACCCTACGATTGCAGTGCTAGCATCGCGATCACGGGCGATCATGCAACCCGCCCTTATGCTACGTAGTAATGCCCTAAGGGTTACTGTAGAGCATATTCTAGACAGCGAAGTACCGTACATTACATAATATTCTGATTAATCGAGTTTAAACGCTTGGGTTACCATATGTATCTCATTGCTTTTACTATTAGGGAGTGACTGCCCGGCAGCAGAAACAGCTTGGCTTGAGTGCCACGACCTGGCGACCCAGAGCATCCCTTGAGTTGAGGCGCGAACAGTCTCAGAGGAAGGGCTTGGCAGGAGGGAAGGCCTGGGCAAAGTCAGCGGAGAGCGATGGCTTGAGTGGCCGGTGGGCTTGAGTGCAACAATCAGGCAGCCCAGAGCAGCCCTTTGAGTTGATGGAAAAACAGTCTCAGAGCAAGAATGGCTTGGCAGGAGGGAAGGCCTGGGCAAAGTCAGCGGAGAGAGAGGGCTTGAGTGCGACGACCTGGCGACCCAGAGCCGCCCAGTGCTGCTGCAGACACGCCCTGATGCCGGCCTGCTCGTCCTGCAGCCCTGCGAGGCCTGGTGGGGGAGGGAGGGAGAGTGATTGGGTGAAATTAAGCACTTGACAAGTGAGAGAAGGCCAGTGCTGCTGCAGACATGCCCTCACGGCTGCCTGCTCGTCTAGCAGCCCCGTGAGGCCAGTTGGGGAAGGGAGGGAGGGCGATTGAGAGAGTGATCGGAGAGTCATGGGAGAGTGATGACGGCGATGAGGGTAAAGGGAAAATCAGGAGCGAGAGAAGGGTTTTCTGCGCGAGTGATAGGGCGTGACAATGGGCCAGTGCTGCTGCAGACATGCCCTCACTGTTGCCTGCTCATTTGTAGCCAGCCGTGTGAGGCTTGGTCCGGGTATAAACGTGGGGGTTTCGGATACCATATCCTCACCCTGCACCCATCTTCACCCATCTGCACCCATCTGCATATCTTCCTCACCTAGCTCCAGCTCGACGCTGTACTCATCCCCTAGTTGATTGCCATCCTATTCCCTATCATCATGCCATCTCCCTTTACCACTTAGCATCTGCCACTTACGCTGTTTCCATCAGCATATTCTGCCTCACCTGGATCCAGCTCAACGCCGTACTCACCCTCCACGACACCTCGTCCTCCTCCTGACTGCCAGTCTATCCCATCTCATCCACACACCCACCCAGCCCAACGCTGCCCTCCAAGCATGTCTTCCTCACCTAGCTCCAGCTCAATCCCATACTCGTCCTCCACGTCAGCCTCATCCTCCTCCAGCGAGCCAATCATCTTTGCCGCTTCCGCGTATCGCCTCATCAGCGCCGCCTCCAGCTCAGCATCGTCCAGATTCTCGTCCAACGCGGGCTGCATGGGTGGCAGGGGGACATGGGACAGTGGAGAAGAGAGCGCGCAGTGTGATGTGAGGGGCACCTCCTGACTCCGCGGCCTCATCAGCGCTGCCTCCAGTTCAGCGTCGTCGAGGTTCTCGTCCAACGAGGGCTGGATGGGGCCAGGGCTAAGTGGCAAAAGACGCACGCGTCCTGCTGCGCCCTGCGTCTGGACGCAGAGACGCAGGACGCGCGTCCGGACGCAGGACGCACCCTGTTTTTTTTTTTTTTTTTTTCCCGAAACGCGAAATTGACATTCGCGAATTCGACGCGAATGTCAATTTCGCGAAAAAACGACCCCCCAAAAGCAACTCGACATTGAAAACAACCCTTCCCCCCCAACTTCAAACCCCTCTACACAAATTTGTAAAGCCCCCAACCCAACCCACCCAACCACTCTACATCTAGAACATCGAACCTTTGTGGCCTCCAACCAAACCCATTTAGGGTGCACACATCTCATTTGTGCTCCCTCCATTCACAACCCCAATTCTCCATCCATGCAGGTTTTATTGTTGGGGAAAATTTTGCATTGAATGTGTGCAAAGGTCCCCCCCCCCCCCCCCCCCCCCCCCCCCTTCTCAAGCCCTATAACTTATTTTACAGCTGCCCGGGGGTTTTTTTTGCCCTGCCCGGTCATGCGTCTTTTCATGCGTCCTAAAGGCCCTCATCTAACGTCCTGCGTCTAAGACGCTGCTGCGTCTGGACGCAAGCGTCCTAGACGCAGGACGCGTCTTTTGCCACATAGGGCCAGGGGGAAAGGGCAGAAGATAGTGCACGCGTTATGGTGAGGGCAGGGCAGGGCTGCAAAGCGCACAGCACATATCACAGCACTGCCTTCAGTCTCACCTCATCATCCTCCTCTTCCTCCTCCTCTTCCTCGCTGTCCACCTCCCCCTCCTCGCTCCCCTCCATGCTGCTCGTCTCCTCCTGCACCTCCTTCAGTCGCACCATCGCAGCCATTGCTGCTGCCAGCACAGCAGCAGGCAGGTCCGACCCTGTCACTGCTGCTGCTGCTGCTGCCTGCTGCACCAGGCACGTCAGGGCGAGCACTGCACAGGGGCATAAAGGCAAAGAGGGGAAGCGGGGATTAGGAGGAGAGCATGAGAGGGCACGAGATTTTGAGCTCGCCTCCTCCTTCACCTCCTTCAGTCGCACCATCGCAGCCATTGCTGCTGCCAGCACGGCAGCTGGTAGGTCTGACCCTGTCACTGCTGCTGCTGCTGCTGCCTGCTGCACTAGGCATGTGAGGGCGAGAACTGTGATGGGCAAAGGGGATATCACAGGGCAGAAGGGGAGAGGGAAGGCTGGCTGGAGGAAAGCCTTTTGAGTCGACTTACAAGTATTCTCTAGTCCTGTGGCTTCATACAGCCCCAGATTACAAGTGTGACCTGCTTTCACGTGTAAACAGAGTTGTTTTGAGACGTCTCAAAATAACTCTGTTTATACAGCCCCAGATTACAAGTGTGACCTGCTTTCACGTGTAAACAGAGTTGTTTTGAGACGTCTCAAAATAACTCTGTTTATACAGCCCCAGATTACAAGTGTGACCTGCTTTCACGTGTAAACAGAGTTGTTTTGAGACGTCTCAAAATAACTCTGTTTATACAGCCCCAGATTACAAGTGTGACCTGCTTTCACGTGTAAACAGAGTTGTTTTGAGACGTCTCAAAATAACTCTGTTTATACAGCCCCAGATTACAAGTGTGACCTGCTTTCACGTGTAAACAGAGTTGTTTTGAGACGTCTCAAAATAACTCTGTTTATACAGCCCCAGATTACAAGTGTGACCTGCTTTCACGTGTAAACAGAGTTGTTTTGAGACGTCTCAAAATAACTCTGTTTATACAGCCCCAGATTACAAGTGTGACCTGCTTTCACGTGTAAACAGAGTTGTTTTGAGACGTCTCAAAATAACTCTGTTTATACAGCCCCAGATTACAAGTGTGACCTGCTTTCACGTGTAAACAGAGTTGTTTTGAGACGTCTCAAAATAACTCTGTTTATACAGCCCCAGATTACAAGTGTGACCTGCTTTCACGTGTAAACAGAGTTGTTTTGAGACGTCTCAAAATAACTCTGTTTATACAGCCCCAGATTACAAGTGTGACCTGCTTTCACGTGTAAACAGAGTTGTTTTGAGACGTCTCAAAATAACTCTGTTTATACAGCCCCAGATTACAAGTGTGACCTGCTTTCACGTGTAAACAGAGTTGTTTTGAGACGTCTCAAAATAACTCTGTTTATACAGCCCCAGATTACAAGTGTGACCTGCTTTCACGTGTAAACAGAGTTGTTTTGAGACGTCTCAAAATAACTCTGTTTATACAGCCCCAGATTACAAGTGTGACCTGCTTTCACGTGTAAACAGAGTTGTTTTGAGACGTCTCAAAATAACTCTGTTTATACAGCCCCAGATTACAAGTGTGACCTGCTTTCACGTGTAAACAGAGTTGTTTTGAGACGTCTCAAAATAACTCTGTTTATACAGCCCCAGATTACAAGTGTGACCTGCTTTCACGTGTAAACAGAGTTGTTTTGAGACGTCTCAAAATAACTCTGTTTATACAGCCCCAGATTACAAGTGTGACCTGCTTTCACGTGTAAACAGAGTTGTTTTGAGACGTCTCAAAATAACTCTGTTTATACAGCCCCAGATTACAAGTGTGACCTGCTTTCACGTGTAAACAGAGTTGTTTTGAGACGTCTCAAAATAACTCTGTTTATACAGCCCCAGATTACAAGTGTGACCTGCTTTCACGTGTAAACAGAGTTGTTTTGAGACGTCTCAAAATAACTC